CCATGTCTTCAACTAGGCATATCATATCTTATTGATGTGTTTGTCTCATTTTTCTCATCTTGTAACTTGGGTGATCTACTAACATTTAAAATTAATTTTTTTAAAAGTTAAACCCTGCTGAATTAAAATCAAACTCCTTTCTTCTCCAAAGAGCTTTCCCTTTCAACTGACCTAACACCCAGTTACTGATTCCTCCGTTTCAAGCCAGCTCCAGTGTGTCACCTAGTCCTATGCAATTTCCTCAAAAGAAAAAGGGAAAAATCACCTCTCAGTTATTGTCTTTCCAGAAAAATATTTACTTGTTTTACTGGTTATGCAAAGGCATTCTACTGTATGGATCATCACAAACTACGAGTGCCATTGAGAAGAATGAGAATTCCAAAGCACCTCATTTGCTCGTGTGGAATCTGGACACGGACCAAGATGCAGCTGTATAAACAGAACAAGAGAATGCTGCATGGCTTAAGAATCAGGAAATGTATGTGTCCAGGTTGTATCCTTGCAGCCTCCTTCTTTAATCTGTACGCTGAGCAAATAACATGAGAAGCTGGACTCAACGAAGAACGCAGCATCAGGAACAGAGGAAGGAAGGCTTACTAGCAGTCTGCCACATGCAGATGATGCAACTTTGCTTGCTAAAAGCAAGGAGGGCTTGAAGTACTTCTGATAAAGATCAAGGACTGCAGCCTTCAGTGTGAAATACAACTCAGGATAAAAAAAACCCAAAATCTCCCCAGTTGGACTGAGATGAACAGCATGATAAATGGGGAAAAGGAGGAGTTGTCGAGGATTTCATCTTACTGGGCGCCACGATCCGTGCTCACGGACGCGCAGTTCAGAGATCAAACAACATATGGTACTGGGCAAGTCCACACAGCATGGCATCTTTCATCTGAAGAGCAAGGATGGCAATTTGAGGGCTACAGTATACCTTACTCAAGCCATGATATTTTTACTTCCCTCCTATTCATGTGAAAGTCAGACAATGATAAGGAACACAGGAAAAGAAGCTATGCTTTTGGATTGTCATTTTGGAGAAAAATATAGAGTACCATGGGCTGCCAGAAGAACAAGCAAATCTGTCTTGGAAGAAGTACAGCCAGAATGCTCCTAACAAGGGAGGGTCATGAGACTGCATTTTAGACATGGTGTCGAGACAGACCAGTCCCTAGAGAGACATGACGCTGGTACAGCAGCAGGACGGGAGGGGAAGAAGGCCTCAAGGAGACAGTGACACAGCGGTTCCAACATTGGGCTCAAACGTAAACAACACTTGGAGGATCTTGCAGGATGGGCAGTATTCTGTTCTATTGTTCGCAGGCTCACCGTGAGTCAAGACCAACTCAACAGCACCAAGCAACGACAACGTGGCCTCTCCAAGCTCTCTGGAGACAGCGGTTCTCAACCTGGGGGTCACGACCCCCTTGGGGGTCCAACCTTTTCACAGGGGTCGCCCAATTCATAACAGTGGCAAAATGACAGTGATGGAAGTAGCAACGAAAATAATTGTGTGGTTGGAGGAGTCACCACAACATGAGGACCTGCATTAAAGGGTCGCAGCAAGAGGACGGTTGAGAACCACTGCTCTAGACCCTCATGAATTTTCTCTTTAACCTTAGTACACCTTTATTTTCTAGGCCCCATCCCTTCCATCTGCTTTGTTGGTTACCGTATATACTCAAGAATAAGCTGACCGATTATCAGCCAAGGCACCTAATTTTACCACGAAAACAGCATTAAAAATGTGCTGCAAAGCTCGGCTTATACGCGAGTATATACGGTAGCTTCCAGGTTAATCTTTCCCAAATACTGCCATGGACATGATGCTCTTGTTCAAAAAAAACTAGCAAGAGTCCTCAGTTCATACTGTAGTGAAGTTTAAACTCTTCCTGTTTGTTCTTTAACCTAAACATACAAAGGAGAAAGGGTCTACTATACAATTAGATACCTACGGAATGCCAATCATGTCCTAGGCAGCCTGCAAGGGCTGCTAATTAGACCATTTGAAAATATTAAAAAACTATATACCGCGCACCTTGCTAACAGTTTAATAGGCACTTTAACGGAAATAATTTTCAAAGCAAGGATAGGAAGTGTGTAACTATTGTTTCCATTTTATAAATGCGAAAGTTAAAAATCAATTAGAGAACTTTCCCAAAGTCATAAAGCTAAAAATGTCAGAGCCAGAACTCTGTCACCTACATGATCAAATCCAATATTAATTCTTCCTAAATCAGGATTCTGTTCTTTTCACAATCAGGACCTATCTGACGAATGCAACTTCATTTCCTTAAAGTAACCCAAGTGCACTCCACCTTAATAGCCTGTGGCTTCAATGTCTACGGATACTTACTGTGTTTGCATTGTAATTCCTTTGTCTTCATGCTGTTATAATTTTCAACAACGTTCTCGAAATTCATCCATCTCATCTGTTTAAATAAAGTTGTTTTCTACCCTTCCTGAACTACTTCAGAGAGATTTTTCTTCTGCTGCAAAATTTGCAGATGCTACCATTTAACACTGTCCGTATGAAGTTACTAATCCATTGCTCACCATTTCTCCCTGTGCTGGTCTTGATATCCCCAACTTGACTGTAGTTGAGGTTGAGTTCTGGTTTGGTACTTCTTTTCATATCACTCATTTCACCTAACAGGGGGCTCAGCAAGCAGAGATGGAGAGAAGGGGGTCTGCTGACTAAGCACTTGCTAACAAGTTGTTGTTAGGGCATAGACTCCAACCCCTGGCCGCGGCGCGTGGTTCAGAACAGAACTACACTCTACACTTCCATGGCCGTGGCCTTTTGAAAGCAGATCCCCCGGCCTCGGTGCCTCTGGGAGGTTTCAAACCGCCAACCTTTCACTTAATAGCTAAGCTTAACTGCGCACCCGCCACACAACAAAAACAAAGAGCTCACTGTCATCGAGTGGATTCTGATTCATGGCAATCCTAAATGACACGCCCCTTTGGCCGAGGCTATAAATCTTTAAGAGAGCAAACGGCCTCATTTTTTCTTCCTGGGGAGCAGCTGGGTTACGGGTACTACTTTGATGGAAATGACCCTGTCCATTTTAATCTGATTACTATACTTTTTCAGAACAACAAATACAAACTTGTGGATTTCTTTCATTGCAATGAACAAAAATAATAACCAAAATAACAATGAGTAAAATTATAATAATCAAAGGTTAAGTGGAACTTCAAATATAAAAATTATTAACTTTTCAGATCCAAGAAGCCAATAAACGTTCTCCCACAGAGTCCCTGGGTACTAAAAATGGTCAGGCACTCAACAGCTAGCATACAGGTCAGAGGTTCAAACCCACACAGAAAGACAGATCAGAGCCATGAAAATACTACCGGGCAGTGCTACTGTGATACGCATGTGGTCACTATGAGTCACAATCAAATCAAGGGCAATGAGCAAGTACTTAATACAAATACTGTTCTTTTCATTTAAATGTGTAGTTACTTTTTCATGATTTGTCATAAATAAATATTAAATGAAGGCTAGAAAATAACTATTTCACTAGGCTAATAACAAATTCTTAACTGCAGCCCCTAAAATAAAGTTATTATGAAACACTATTATAAATCTAATCTTAGGAACCAAGCTACACACAGTCTTTAGACAGGGTTCACATTAAGTTTATACTATGCTAAGATGTTTTCTGTCATAAGTATAATGTGATACCACAAAGATACTATACAACATCAACATGTTCTATCAACACCTGTTCTGAGACAGGTAAACTGTAAACCACTACCATATAATAATACCATTGTTTTATTGCTGTTAAATCATTCTCTCCCTTTAGAGCTCCCTGGGAGTGCTGTTGGGTAATCACTGGACAGCTAATCTCAAGGTCAGCAGATCAAACCACACTCCATGGGAGAAGTGTGACTCTGTCCCCTTAAAGATCTGTAGCTTACCGAGGCGGCTGTGGTCAGAAGTGACTCAGTGGCAGTGGATTTTGGTATCCTCCCTGAGCATCTGGTTCAATTCAGCTTGAATGTGTCCCCATCCTTTCTTTTCTCTGCCAGACACACCTTAACCATATGTAAACAAACCTAATAAGTTACCTAAGCATGCAGCAGCACCAACCATGGCATAAAGGCCAGGGGTGATGCAATCAGCCCCAACTTCACACCATTCCTTAAAGATAAACCAGTCGTGGTGATAGTACGCAAGTTGTTCCACCGCGATCCCCACAATTCTGCCTGCGATCGCTCCAATGGCCATGCTGGGGATGAACAAGCCTGATGGGACCTGCAGGGATGACAGCAGAACGCTTAATCAGGCAGATCCTCCACGTAAGTGCTTGATGCTTACATCCCATGGCTTTGCTTCTAAGGCGTTTGATTCTGTTCATATTTCTTTGATACAAAAAACAAACCCTCATACAAATAATAGAATAACAAGAGCTGTTACAAGACTAGCTTCATTTAGGATCAAACAATATTCTCTGGAGCAAAAAGATACTGTTCTAAACATTATTTATCCTTTAGCTCAGAGGATCCCCTAATGAAAAATGTTCATTAGTTCATGGTGAAATCAAACGGTGGGGGATGGGGGTGGGGGGGTGGGGAGGGTAAAGAATTGTACTAAAGCCAAATATATTGTATTTGAAGCACTCAAAGATTATATCCTTCCTACATAATTAGCAAATAATAGAAAAACTAGATTCTTCTTACCACCACTAGCCTGTCAGTTTGTTGTACTATAGTCACTTGCATGTGGCTGTTGGACCACTGATATTTCAAAAGCCAGAAGGACTGCTCAGAATAGACTGGTATCAGTGGCCAACCCAAGAATAAGACTATTGGGCAATGAATGTACAAATGCGCTTTACACAATTGATGCATGTATGGATGTATGGATTGTGATAAGAGTTGTATGAGCCCCTAATAAAATGATTTTTTTTTTAAAGGAGATGGAAAGAATACAGTCACTCTAAAAAAATAAAAAGAATAAGACTATCTAGGAAGAAGAATTTGGCAATCTACTTCTAAAAAAATAAAAAAAAGCTCAGCCAAGGAAAACCCTAGGAACAGCAGCAGAGCATCGATGAGAGAGACCAGAATGGGTGCCTCAAGCCGGAATGTGCTCAGACATGACTGGGTCAGAGCAGCCATGTCAAAGTAGAGTTAATGACATGGGACAAGTAGAGATTTTAGGACCTTCATTTGATGACTTGGTAGAACTCAAATATAAACAACTACAAACATTATTAATCAGAATGTCTGAAGTATAAACACAGGCAAACTAAAGTTCTCAAAAATTCAATGAAATACTTAAAGATAACTAGCCTAGACGTTTGTGACCCGAAATGAATAGATACTTTGAATTGAATAATCCTATGGTCTACTACTATACCAGGAATGATCATCGCCTTTGTTGCCAAAATGAACACTTCAAGATCTCGCCTGAAGTACAATGCTGTCAGTAATGGAATACACAGGTATATACATACACCTAGGAGGAAAACCAGTTAAGACAATTATTATGCTGATTTACACGCCAACAATTCATTGCAAAGATGAAGAAATGGAAGATTTTTACCAATTTCTGCAGTCTGAAATTGTTCAAATATGACGCCAAGATGCATTGGTAATTACTGGTTTGGGGATGCCCAATATGGCTGGAAAATATAACCTTAGCTATGGAAGCAATGCTGGAGATCAAATGATAGAATTTTGTAAGACCAACAACTCATGCACTAGAAACAGGTTTTCAACAATCTCAGCAGTGACTATACAATGGAACTCATCAGCTGGAATACACAGGAATCCAGTAGACTCCGTCTGTATAAAGAGGCGAGCAGAGAAACTCATTAGCATTGGTGGGAGAACAAGAACAAGGCCGACAGTGGAACAGAACCATCCACTGCCCATGTGCAAATTCAAGGTGAAACTGAAGAAAATTAAAGCATGTCTACGAGAGCCAAGGCACATCCTTGACTTGAGAACCGTCTCCAGAGCAGGTAAGATGCGGCGGCCGAGCGTCCCATGAGTTGTGGGATGACATCACAAACCCTATATGCGAAAAAGCCAGACGGTCATTAAAAAGATAGGAAAGAAAGGGGGAAAGACCCAAATGGATTTCAGAAATTACCGTATATACTTGATTATAAGCCGACCTGAATATCTGCAGAGGCACCTAATTTTACCACAAAAGCTGCATTAAAAATGTGCTGAAAACCTCGGCTTAGCTCGAGTATATACGGTAACGCTGGAACTTGCCATTGATTGTAAAGTGGCTGCAGCAGGTGGAGGAAGTCATGAAGTCCAGAAGCTAAACAGAAGGTCCCCCAGGGCAGCTCGAGAAGACAAAGGATCATAATAACGAACTGTGCAGACTTCGAGTTAGAAAACAAGAGAGGAGGGAAAGACTTGGCATTTCTCAAGCTGCAAGAAGGGAAGGAAAAAATTAAAGCCTGGAGCTGCGATAGTAAAGAATAAAACATTAAACGATGCAGGAAACACCAAAAGAAGATGGAAGGCACAGAGAGTCACTGTACCAGAAGACACTGGTTGACACGTAACCAGTTCAAGAGGCGCACATGATCCAGAACTGCTGATAATGAAGGAAGAGGCTCAAGCTGCAACGGAAGGCATGGGCCCAAAGCAAGGCTCGAGGAATTAACTGAGCGGCACTTGAAGTATTTCAATAAACGGACGCAGCACTAGCCACATTCGCAAATGCATGTCAAGACATATGGAAGGTAACCTTACCTGGTCATCTACGTGGAAGAGACCCAGAGTTGTGCTTCTCTATTCCTGAAACAGGTGCCCCAACAGAAGGTGGAAAATATCACGTGCAAGTAAAATGTTGCTGAAAATAATGCACCAACAAGGAGCTAACAGAAATTCAAGCTGGATTCAGAAGAGAAGGTGGAATGGGGGATAACACTGCTGATGTCGAGATGGATTTTGGCTGAAAGCAGAAATGACCTGAAAGATCTTTACTTGTGTTTTACTGACTGCGCAAAGGCATTGGACTGCGAGGATAACATCGCAAAGAATAATGCACACCAGACACTTTGTTGTGCTCATGGAACCTGTACATAGACAAAAGGCAGCCATTCACACAGAACCAGGGATCCTACATGCTTTAAAATCAGGGAAGGTGTGCGACAAGGTGTATCCTATCACTATACTTGAACTCGATCTGGAGGCCGAGCAAATGTCCCAAGAAGCTTGACTGTATGAAAAAGAACTCAGTATCCGATTAGAAGACAGCTGATTAATAACCTGGGATACGCGATTTTGCTTACGCAAAGAGCACGGGGCTTGTTGCACTTAGTGATGCGAAGTTCAGAGCTGAGCCTTGGGGACAGATGACACTTCAACATAAAGAAAACAAAAGTCTTCATAACTGGGCCAGTACGCAGCATCGTGATAAACGGGGAACATGCTGACGTTCTCGCTCTAAAAGTGGTGGAGCTGCTTGTGGAAAGGAAAGGCTTACAGCACAGCCCTCACTGTCAAAGTCTGCCTTTTCCCCCTCTGTCTGCACCTGCCAGATGCGGAGGATAAAGACATGCTTGCATGGTGCGCTCAAAAATTCGCCTTCCCTGGTGTACATTTTAAATTAGGAAACTTAAATCATTTGCCAGGAAAATAGTTAGACTGAGGGCTTCAAAAACATAGCTTCTAGAAGCTGTGATCAAATAAATGGTGCCACGTACAAACGATGGAAAACGGAACCACATGAACGAGCTAACGACGAATGTGTGAAGCGTGGATGCGCCCAGAAGGCATGATGCCAGGCGAAATTAGTCAGCCACAAAAGGACAGATATTGTTTGAGACTACTATTATTTTAAAAAGCCAGGAAACATTTTAACACACAATTTTTTCATGAAAACAAAACAGAAAATCATGTGTTCAAAAGATGAATTCAGTATTCTTTGACGGCAGAACACTCGGTCCCTAAAACTGCCATGCTCTGATTCCTGTAACCTGTGAAGATGTGGATTACATGGCAAAGGGAATTTAAGATTGTGGACAGAATTAAAGTTGCCAATTAATTGACCTTAAATAGAGGGATTATCCTGGATTATCTAGGTGGACCTTATGTAATTACAATGTTCTTTGAAAGTGGAAGAGGGAGGCAGGAGTCAGAGTCAGAGTGCAAGGTGAATGCCAAAGAAGGTCAGAGCCACGCCGAGGACTCCACCCATCTTTGAAGATGAAGACATGAGGGCGGTGAGCCAGGGAATGTGAGCAGCCCAAAAGCTGCCAGAAATAGATTCGCCCTAGAAACTCCAGAAGGAGATACAGCACCTTGATTCCAGCTGCTCTGTGCTGCTTTCAGTCACGAAGTTTATGGTAATTTGTTACAGTGGCAATAGGAAATGAATACAAGTGGAATTAACATTTTCCCACAAGTCTCTTATACACTCCTCAGTAAGAGGGAGTGTTAAGTGCTTTTCCCCTGAATACAGGCAGGCCTTTGTAAACATTCTGGCTAATGCGTACACTGCATCACAAGTCATACTGTGTGTCTTCCTTGGCAGGCTGGATTAGAAACAGTGCTCTTGGGACAATTGCTCTTGAAGCCCTGCATACAGTGTAAGAAATTCAACTACCTTGCGCCCACCATAGATACCTAGATGGCAAAAATAGTTTTCTCTTGGCCACTAACATAAAAGTGGGGAGCTTGAATGCATTTAGTGGCACTAAGAAAGAACGGCATGCTGATCTGTTTCCAAACGATTATAGCAAGAACCCCTAAGAGTGTGCTCCTACCCTGACACATGGGGGTGTCACTATGAGTCAGAATTGACTCACTGGCAACAGGTTCTCTGTTTTGTTTGTGTTTTTAGGGACCCATGCTATAAAAATCAAAGGCAAACAGAGCTGTTCCAGTCCTGGTTGTCTGAGTCTTCTGAGCCCAGGTGCCAGACATATGACGAAGTATTTAAGATGTCATTTCTTATGGTAACCACAAGAGGCCACAGCAAAACATTCCCAGCCAAGTCCTTCCCAAATTGCTGAACCAATATAAAAAGGGTGTACGGGAGAGGTCATCCTAAGCGGCTAAATTTGGAGACGATTTTTTTTTTCACACAACATAACAGGTACATGCTCAAAAATATATTCTAAAACAAAAATTCCCATTAGTTAAAATTAAACCCCAAAGACTTTTCCACCTTACATTTCTAAAACCACAACCTTGCAACTAAAATTTCATTTCCGGGTAAGGAGCACAGGGTGGGGGGTGGGAGGGTAGGGTAAGGCAAGCTATTAGGAGTTTGATACATAGCCTAAGTTGTTGAATCTAAAACTAATGATCTGAAATGTAAACTTGCACACAATTCACAATAAAAAAACTTATTTAAAAAATCCATTTCCCTATTCCATCTCTAAGAGTTGAACATGCTAAGAATACTTAAACAGCACATCGCATTAACGCTTACCTTGATACCAAAAGTGAATACTGTCATTATAATTTTGAATATGAGTGCTAAGCACAACTGCCATATGGCTGCATACACGCCGCTGCCCGCTGGACGGTCGGGAATGTCGTCCACGATCTTACTGGCGTTCATGTCATTTCTGTAGTCACACAAGGAAGAGGACTCCAGGGGGCCACAGTCCGTGAAGAGCTCCTTGATCAGCTCACTGGTGTTGAGGCGAGTGTAAGGGTTGGGAAAGGCTATCACAGCAGTGATGGCGGCAACAATAATAACTTCCAGAACAGGGTACTTTCCAAATTTAGTGGATTTGCGCCGACGACACCAGGCAATGTTTGCCCTAATGAAAAAGGCTCCCCAAAGCCCCCCAAACACCCCCAGGAGAATAAAGGGAAACAGTTCAAAGAGGTACCACGGCGTGTGGTACTCCACATAGAAGAGGACGAGGCGGCTGTTACCAAATGGGTTGATGGATCTCAAAACAAAGGCAGCCACTAAAGCAGCGAAAAATGATCTCCATAAAGTTTTGAGAGGAAAATAATAGCTAACCTAAAAAAAGAAAAGGAAACGAAAATTAGTGCTATGATATTAAAAGATGTTTCTTATAATAATTTGAATGGTAACTACCATCGATCTAAATTTTACTGCAGCTAGAATTCACACATGGAATGGAGCGTAATAAGAAAAAGGCTGATTTTTATTAACGTTGGCGATGGCATCACTACAAATTTATAAAGATGACCAGGATTACTTGTAATTATTTAGAATACTTAATATTGCCTTTTATTCAAAATGAGCTTTATCATGAATGCAATCGCGGTCACTTGGAATAAATGTACTACCACTATATCCTGTTAGCTTTTAAATACCTATTTTCTATTTCATTTGCCCCCTCTAGATTAAAAAAATATATGTGGGGAAAACCCCACAAACAACTACAAGAAAAAAGCAAATCCAAACAGAACTCTTTCTACTCAAGATGCAAAAGTGGGACTGTCTCAAGCACTGAAACAAGCATTAAACCAAAATTCCCCCCTCAGCGACTACGACCATGTCCTTACCCATCAGCACCTGCGTGTCCCAAAAGTCATACACAAAAAGATCATCTTAGGATTATACGTTTTTTTAAGTAAAAATAAAATATAATTTAACCTACAGAGATCATTTGTTTTCAATATCCCCTCTTAAGTTCAATTCACATCGCTTTTTAAAATATATGTCAACAGAATAAAATTAAACTTTAATCACTAATGTCCATCCATGCGTAATAGATTAAAAAAACTTTCCTCAGAGCATGTAACATGTAGAGTATATTAAAATTTATGTAAGAATGAGTGAAAAAAAAGAATAATCATCATGGTTTATATGTACATTCAGAAACGGATTCACAAGAAAAGTTGCTTAGGCAGGGAAGAAAAAGGCAGGCGCCAGGATGGAAGTAAAACCATGAGACTGTATTACCAATTTAAAACATAAAATTAGCATTTTTAAAAGAGGATATGAAAATCTTTGTGAAAATCAATCTGAAAACTTAAAAGCAAAGTCAGTATCAAATATAACCAGCTATAAAACAGAAAAACACACAAAATATATTTGCAATGGCAAATATATATGATTTTTAATTGCTGCCTTTTTTTTAAACCTACCTCTTCCAGACTAAAAAGCACTCCTCCAATCGGGGCCCCAAAGGCGACAGACACACCTGCAGCAGAGGCAGCGGACAGCACCTACAAAGACCATTGTGGCTTAGTGTTTTCATGTTTGCATATCAACGCTTACGCACCAAATAAACCTTCTTCATCTTACTTGGATTTTCTAAATACCTCTCCTAAATTTAGCTAAACATAAACTTATGCCACCTCCCCAAACAAAGGACAAGTCTTCATTTCTTCCACAAAGATTTTCTTTTCTCTTTTGCTTTAATTGAAAGGTCATTCACACATTCAACATCCGGTGAAAAAATAGGAGACAATGAATGATAGACATGTCTAAACATGTTTGATTGTTAGAATAATCACCCATTGAAGATCCGATGGGTAGCACTTACCCAAGGACTCAACTCACTGCCCTCCCGTCAATGTGGACTCATAGTGACCCCACAGGTCAGGGCAGAACTGCCCTGTGAGTTTCTGAGACTGGAACTCTTGATGAGTAGAGAGCCCTCTTTCTCAGGAGCAGCAGCTCGTGGTTTTGAACTTGCTGACCTTGTGATTGGGAGCTCAACGTGTAACCACAAAGCCACTAAAGACAGAAGGTCCTTAAGGTTACAGAGAAGAGGAACAGAAACAGGAAACACTGGAAGGAAGTAGGATAAGCAATGGTACATTGAGGAAACGGAAATGAATGAGTTGAAACAAAATATATATAAATCACTGCATGTAAAACTCGTGATCTGCTCTGCAAATCTTCACCTAAATCACAAAAAAAGGTTTGAAAACGTAAAATTAATGTTGTCAGGGGAAAGCAGTTGGATTGTGGAGTTGCGAGAGAAGAGAGCATTAACGAGGTTTGGATGGAAAGTTCTCTTTTTGTTTTAGGTAGGCTGTCACATCTGTCTTCTGTTTTAGAGCTGACTGCCCCATCGTTCATTCTTACTCTCTTTCAAATGGGGGCAAGAGACACAACTGAAAACCTATTGCGCTTCCTTACGTTTTCAGTGCCCTACACCGGAGGGACTTTCACAGACCTATGACCACGAAGGTGCCACAGGACCATTCTACCTTACACCAGGGCTCCATGTGAACCGAAACAACGCCACTACTGACAACAAGCCCGACCCAGGCCCCTGGCGATGCCATCACTGCAAGGGTACAGAGCCGCATCCTTACACCGTCACTCGAGTCCCAGTCCACCAAGCAGATTAACCGAAACTTCAGCAATTCAGCACGTTCACGCGAGAGACACATTCATGCATGTTCTTCTGGGTCTGTCTTCTGGCTATCTTGTCACTGTTTTGTTACTGCCTGGTTCCTATGCATGTAAGTTCATAGGACTCTTACTTATTGGTAATAATTTCTCTGAGAATCTTTTTTTCCCCACTACTTTCCTTCAGCAAACTGTATTTGAGGCTACCCAGAATACTCCTCAAATCCTCCATAGTCACATTTCCCAAGGAACATTTCTAAAGAATCAAAATTAAATGAAACATGATGACAGGGACACAGTCGGGGTTCAGGGTTAAAATACTAGTTTTGTCACTAACTGGTTGTATAACTTTGGGCAAATCAATTAACTAACTGCTCTGCACCTGTTTCCTCTTCTCTGAAATGGGGATGTGAAGATATTACTTACCTCAGGAGGATTGAGTGAACTACATATAAAGTGCTCAGAACAAGTGACTGGCATCCAGTAAGTACTTTATAAAAGTTTGATAAATTAAAAATAATGATTCATTTAAATTAAACTCTACCTGGCTTTAGAATGCAAAGTCTGCTCATTTGGGAGAAAGCAGGGCACGGAATTTCCTCATTTGTTTTCCTTCCACTAACAGAAGTACAGAATACACATCTGTTTAACTGAATTCCCAACTCCACATTTAACAGGTACAGTACCAGATACATTTTTATTAGGAACTAATCAATAATGCCAACTATTTCATTATGTGGTATATAGTGTACTCTATATATTATATATAGTATATTATATAATACTGGAATACAATTAGTAAGCTATGATGCTCTAAAGTGTTCCACTTTTAGAATGTCTATGGCCAACATATAGACAGTATTTTAATGCTAACATTCAAATAAACAAAATATTTCCATTGAAAAATTAACATTTACAAATTATCTATTTTCGGCACCAGGTCATATGATAAAAAGGGACTGTAGAGGCCAGAGACACTTGACCCTTGCGTTTCCAGTATTAAATAAGATGTTTCAAAAAATCACCCCTTAAAAATCCAAAGGTCTGTTTGAGGAGGCTTCAGAAAAAATCCATGAGAAACTGAATTAAAAGGTAATGGAATGTTCCTACAACAAGCCCCGTGCACCACGTCGGGCTGCAGACCTAGGGTGGGAGCACAAAGGGGTTCGTGTGGGGCTCCTAAATACGAGAGCGAGAGAGTTACCAGGAGTTTTGTCTAGGAAATACCCAGAGTGAACTGGGAACATCTGGGGAACGCTCAGGAGATGGAATCAGCTGGGTGGCCGTGAGCTGGGGTTTGGGAATAGGAAGCTCAAAAGTCTCCTCCAAGACCTGGGGCTGGCCTAGTGGGGAAAAAGAGCACAGGAAATTCCCTCTAACTAAACAAATAGGATTTCTTGTGTCCCTGTTACTGTGGATCTTTGGTTTGAACAGCAAGCAAGAGGTTATGAGTCCTCGGAGCTTCCTCCCGGAACTGGGAGCTCTTTCCTTTCACACGGCACACCCCACCTGCACTGGCATCAAACACTGCCTCTGGAGGAAAACACAAGGGCCGAGTTTCTCAAGCCAGGAGAAATCCTTAAAGAGCCCTGCTGGCTTAGTGGGTTCCCGTTGGGCTGCACAGTCGGTGGTTGGAAAGCACTAGCCGCTCCACAGGAGAAAAGATGAGACTTTCTGCTCCCTAGAGGGAGTTAGCTTCTTTGGGTTCGGAGAAATACTGATGATGAGATGTAACAGTAAAAAACAATGTTCCAGCTGAATCTCCTCAATCCGGTCGACAGAGCCGTCACCCCCTCTCCCCCGACCCCCAAAGCGGCTGAACAGAGCGGTGACTATGGAGCAGGGCAGCAAGGGCAACAGGACAGAGCGGTGGGCAGACCAGCCCAGAGTGAGAAAGCGGAGGTGGAAGGCTTGCTTGTGCAAGGGGGTGCCTCCAGGTATGTAAAGGGAGCTGGCTTTGCTGAGCCCTGGAGCTAGAGTTGTGTGTCTTCGGGCTCAGCCTGACGGTGGAGTGGAGTGCCAGTGGGCCGTGCTTAAAGAGCTCTGTAACGCTGGCTGAGAGGGCAGAAAGCGAGAGACCAGGCTTGGACGTCAGACACCAGAGCATGCTACAGGCATGGCTGGGAAGAGGTGCTCTGGACCAGAGGGCTCTATGGTGAACCTTGTGACCTCAATAGTAAGAGGTTAATCCCCTCATAAATCCCATAATGGTGAGAATTTTTTAAAATAATAATAATATTACATTTTTAAAACACTTGAGATTGGGCAAGGCCTATGGCAAAATGAAAACGAAAGGAAATCCGACTAAAACCCAATGGATGCCAGGTAGCTTTGCTAACCCAAAACCCAGTGCCATTGAGTTGATGCTTACTCAGGCTGGGCCTGCAGGACACAGTAGACCTGCTCCATGAAGTATTCGAGGCTGTAAATCTTTCCCGGAGTAGGCGGCCTCATTGTCCTGCTGAGGCTAGTGGGTTCGAACGACTGTCCTTCAAGTTAGTAGCCCAATGATTAACCTACTGCTAAAGCAGTGGTTCTCAGCCCTTCTAATGCCGCAACCCTTTCATACAGTTCCTCATGTGGTGGTGACCCCCCAACCATAACATGATTTTCGTTGCTACTTCATCACTGCCATATTTCTACTGTTCTGGATCGGGTGCCGCTGTGCTCAAGCTTCTCAAAACTACAAGATGGCCCTTTCAGCACTTGCAATGGATTCCAGAAAGGCTTTGGAGATTATCCAAAACAGGAAAAAGAGGCATAAACGAATCCCAAATGTGATCTTTCCACCAAGAAATCCTCGGATGACTACGTCTGTAGCAGATATGTTTCTGTCATATGACCACTGAGACACTTACCTCCCTTTTCTTAGCTTCATTTGTGCTGTACTTTGGAAAGAGGTAGGAAAATATATTTCCACAGCAACAGGCAACGTGCACCAGGGGCCCTTCTTTCCCTAAACTCAAACCTGATGCCACGGCCAGTACTAAAGTGATGGTTTTAATCATTAAAGTCCATTTTCCCAAGTAGCCTCTGATGATGAATCCACTCAAAATAGTTTTAATCTGCAAAGGAAAAGATTAAGTCATCTTAATGTTCATTTAAACACATGAGACTTTAACATAATAAATTGAGTGATCATTATGCTTTAGTCACAAAACTACTTGCAGATTATAGAATAACTGCACAAGTAAATTTTTCAAAAGCCTTATCTACTCTGCTACGTGAACTAAATCTGTGTCATATTCTACGTCCCTACCCAAGCAAGGACAGAGGGCGACCTTTATCGTGAACAAAGTTAAAACAACAGGCCAGGCTAAAGTGACTAGAGGCCTTAATTTGAAGGAGTGTAGTTACATAATCAGAAAAAGGCAAAATTGTAGTCATTCTAAAGTAGAACTAATCTAAATACTTAGATGTCGCCTGGTCATTTTCATTCAGTGTCAAGTAGAAGAACATTATGCTTTCCCAAAATATGACAATTATGGGTATTTTTTTATATATCAAAAAGAATGAGTGACAGCTGCCAACTCCGTAAATATTGTTACCTAATATTCTTAGTACAGTTTTAAAAACCACTGCAATTTCATTTTTTTCAAGAATTTCATTAGAAAAAGCAGTAATAATTTAAGAATAGTAAAATAAAAAGAGGGAAGAAAGGAAATGCATTCATATCAAGACAAATTCTAAGTATATTCATCTGTAAATTACTGCTGATAAGAAATGTTTATAATCAAACATTTAAAGTAAAAAGTACTTATAAGTACAATCTGCCACATTAAATAATCATTAATTTCAGTAATCAAAATTCAGTTATAAAAAGAGTTAATGTACTAAAATCAGGTTCATAAGTAAATTATCAACTAATCAATTAAAACATTGTAGGCCACATGATATTTTTCCTAGGCATTTGGTATTTATTCAGCGTTGGTGATAACTGGCTTAACAACCCCACTATATGAGGGATGAGAAAAAGAGGAACTCCACCTCCACAGTAAATGATGAACTGACTCCTGGTAAGATTATTTTCAACAATGTCCATAATCAACTGACATTTACATCTTTAAAATTTTCATAATTCAAATCATTTTCTCAGAACATCAAACAATTGACGGTTAATGACAACTAAATATTGCACAGCTCACCTCTGGAATTCCAGAGCCACAGGCATATGGAGCAAACACCTTTACTAGGGAAACTGCAAGAAAGGCAAAACTCAAGGCCCAGAAGATGTACATTATGTAATTCATGATGTAAGAACCAGGACCCTAAAAAGCAAAGTTTCATAGCATGAATTTTTCATTTAGAGTATGTCCCTAAAGCACATTTTTGCTGTTGAAGAGCTTTGTTAAAAATTGTAACCAACAAAAAAAAAAATTTGTAACCAACTTATCTCTACAATTAAAAAAAGCTTTATATTAACAAACTACTTGAGTGCGCCAAAACATATTGCTCTCCATACCAAGGAGCCATGGCCCAATTAGTGTTTTTCCTACTTGTTTTCTGATCCCTAAAACATTATTACCAAGGGCACTTCAACTGAGCTCCAATCTCTGCCTACCCACAAACCAAGGTTATAAACACTGGTGGACACAAAAATGCATTGGCTAACCACTCAGATTTAGTCCACTGCAATCTTTCTGAAAATAATTTAAAGGTGTGGTAGTTACATAATCTGGTGTCAATTTGGGGCTTGAGAGGATTAAGAGTGAAGGTGTGGACTCTAGTCTGTCAACTGGGTCAGCGGCCTCTGTGGGGGCATGCCTACTTCTGAGGATTCTGGGAACTCCTGTATTCCTCCTTGGAGGCGAGAGACACACGCTCTCTCTCTCTATGCTCACTCCCTGCGAAAATTTTCTGAGGAGAAGCCACATGAAGCTACCCTGAGGCAGTCAGAGTTTCGAAGCTGATGGAACCACGTTGGAGACCCCTGCCAGCACTGAGATGCTTACACCACCAACACATCCACAAGACTTCTCCCCCACCAGCCTGTGATCTTCCTGCATGCGGGAGACATCATTGCATGTGTTTCGTGAGTCTGAAGAGAACTTTATAGACTGGTATCAGATATATGGGCTAGCATCGGACTTATGGACTTATGATCTGGACTAGGTTGGGATGTTTTCTCAATGTTCAATTGCTCTTGTATATAAAGCTCTTTCGTATACACATACGAGTGTCTATGAATTCGTTTCTTTAGTCCACCCAGACTAACACATTATGGTACCAGGAGTGGGGTACTAGAGAAACAAATCAAAGATGGTGAGTGGATGTTTGTTTAATGTCTCCCACGAGGTAGTGTTTCTTCTTTGTCTAGCCTGATGTCAGATATGTCCATGCAGTTTACTGGGTTATTTTCTGGAAAGAATATGGGATGTTAAAATTTCGATTATTATGGTTTGTTATTGTCTTTGGTTATACCTGTTTGAAATGGAGAGAATGAATGTGATTAATGTGTATTTTGAGCTCAGGGGTAGAACTCGCTGTCTGAATTTCTCAGAAACCATGCTGCTTAGAGAAAATGGCTGACAGAATGTCAAAATGGCTGACAGAAAGCCTGACTGGTTTGATACTGTCAGAGGCCTAATCCCATATTTTGTATCAATAGAATTGTTTAGATAAAGGATTAAGATAAACTAAATAAGGATTGAACTTGACTGTTTTAAGAATTGAGTTTAGTGTCTGAGTCTATTTTGTTTATACTGATTTCTTCTGTTTATTATCGTTTATATAATGACTGATAGAAAGGATTATTGGGAAGTATAAAAATAGAGAGCTGGTAAGCCCACTTTCCCTGAGTCATTAAAATCTAAATCCTTAAATGGGTTTAGGACACATCTGAAAAGAAGGCTTTGAAAAGATAAGCCCCACCTGGTGCTCTGAAGTCCTCAGGCTGTTTGTATTTGAAGTGTCTTACCTAAGGGGCTGTCGGTGACAGAATGAAGAAAACGGCTTTTTGAAGTTTGAATTCTAGTGTTTTTTTGTCAGAAGCTGGAAAAAATCTGGGACCATGAAGAAAACTCCTCTCTAGGACTGAACATTAAAGGAGGCCTGTGGGCAAGCTGAAATGCTTGCTAGGTGACCACCTGGATCCACTTGTTGAGTGGAAGCGGGAGAAAATCAGCAATAGAGAGATGGGTTGAGTCTGGCCACTGATACCCATGAACCTGGTTTACAGGAACTAGAAGAGAAGAGGAGAGGGGGTTGACTGGTCTGAAGTTCATGACCTAGCACAAGGGAGCTAAGCTTGTTGAGAATTTGTGATGAGCCCATGGTCTAATGGTGAGGCGACCAATGGACACCCTGGTGAAGCTAAGTGAGGCAGCCCATATTTAGGTGACCAGAATCTGACTAGATGAAGAGAAGATTTTTGAGCCTGTGAACTGGTGCATGTTGTTGCTGACTTTATGGGCTGCCTGTCCTGATTTGACTTTGCTTATGGATGCAGATTTCACAAGGTTCCAACTGGAATGAAGATTCTTCACATCAAAGAAGCTGAGTGTCTCCTCAGCGCTGGGTTGATGTAAGTGGGTAGTATAGAAATTGGATACCCAAAATGGGGCAGATAAAGGCATGAGTGTCTGGCTTACAGACTTTCATAGGTGCTGGAATATATTCATGGGATATTTTTGTTTTGTTCACTTACAAAATATTATGTTTAGATAAGTGTGGCACATATTGAATTATATGCATTTTAGTTTTATTCTGGTAGGTACAGATATGATTTTATTGTTGTTTGTTTGAATATTATATATGGTTAAAGAGTTATGTGCAAGTGTCAAATTGAGAAGGGGTGGTCTGTGGTAGTTACATAATCTGGTGTCAATTTGAGACTTGAAAGGATTAAGAGTGAAGGGGTGGAGTCTAGTCTGTCAATTGGGTCAGAGTCAATAGGGCCTCTGTGTGGGCAGGGGCTTCTCCTGAGGATTCTGGAAACTACTATAGTTACCTCCTTGGAAGCGGGAGACACACACTCTCTCTCGGCTCACTTCCTTGGAGACTCTCTACTGACAAGGTTCACTCCTTGCGAGCCATCCCTGAGGAAAAGCCAAAGAACCTACCCTAATACAGCCCTGGGGGCTGGAGAAGCCAGCACTGAGATGCTTACAATACCACTGGATTCATAAGACTTATCACCCACTGGCCTGTGATCTTCCTGCATTCGGCATCATTGCATGTGTTTCGTGAGTCTGAAGGGAACTTTATAGATGAGTATCAGACATATGGGCTAATATCAGACTTATGGACTTGATCTGGACTGGGCTGGGTTGTTTACTCAATGTTCAATTGTTCTTGTATATAAACCTCATTCTTATACACATATGCGTGTCTATGAATTTTGTTTCTCTAGTCAACCCAGGCTAACCCAAAAGGCAATTCAATTGGGTCAGGTGAGAAATAGCATACTGTTCATCTTAAAAGCAGATACATACATTCTGACAGTGTTCAAGTTCAGCAACGGCAATGACTTCATTACAGAACATTAAGAGTAGTAGAAGAATCATTCAAACGCCATAATGTCACAAAGAAAATGTAGTTTCTTCAAGGAAATGACACCTAAAGGGTCATTTTACAGAATTTTGGTAAGCCATACTTTCTTTTAATAATTCGATCGATCTTAGTGATTTCCATGTTAAAGTTTTAATAGCTTGGCTTCATATGGACATTTTTGGTTACACAGATCCTTTATTGTGTGACTTTCACTTCCTTTTTACCACAACTCACACGGAAAGAAAACCACATATTCTGATTCAGTACATGTGTATATTCCTGCATAGTTAACGCATAAGAAATCTTAAAACTGCTTCTTCATTGCGGCATGTATTTTTGCTTTCTTTCTTTAATGTAGATTGCAACCATCTAAATTGACATCATGATTCCCTAGCCCGTCTTATAAAACAAAATACTATTACACAATAGGTGGGTAATTCTATAATTAAATGAACTGGAGATGGCTTACCTCTGCTTGACCTATGATTAGTTCTGCCCATGTTTTCCACTGTGGACATTTATCCCTCTCTTCAAATGTCGTTTCATTAGATCCCCAACAGCACTGTTCATGGTTGTACCACAGCGCACTGAGGCAAATGCCCTCTTTTAGGTCAGTCATCCAATCAGCCGCGATGTCTATTAATCCGGCCAGTGCTCCTGTAAAAGCACACCGGAGCTAGTAAAATAAACTCCTCGAGTCTAGGGAAGGCTCCGTGAAGAAGTATCAAGAGATTGAGAGAAAGTATCATAAGGATATAAAGCATAATGGTTAGAGTTATAAACAGGTTTATAACATCAAATTAATTGTGATCCAACAAAAGTGTCTAAAAGATTATTTAAAACAATCTTCAAAAGACTTGCCGGAAGGTTCATAAATCTGATCATTGAAGTGAGGTCTTTATTAGTATGTTTCAACTCAAGAATTAATCAACAGATCAAAAAGGGTGTGAACCAACCAAACTTAATACCCTATAGAATTTACGAATTATAAAACTAATAGACTGGCAGTGTTTTCCTTAAATAGCAGGGGGGAAAAACATTATCTGACTCATAAACTATTAAAAAAGCACACACACTTATGATCAAAAGCTGGATTTTACTTACCATAAAAAGTATGTCAACTATTTAAGTACAACAAACCAAACCCCCTATCAAGTTGATTCCAAGTAATAGCAACCCTACAAGACAGAGGAGAACTATTCCTGTGGATTTCTGGGATAACGTATCTTTACTGGCGCAAAATTCCTCATCTTTCTCTTACAGCATGGCTGGTGGAATTGAACCGCTGACCTTGTGGTTAGCGGCTCAATGTGTAATCCACTGCACCACCAGGCCCCCTTAGCCAAGTACCCGGTAGCCACAATATCCTTGTCCTTGCCAATTAGAGTTATCATACTTCCTTCTGTTCTCCACACAAATGTTTATTTTTCTTCAAGTTCTTTTGGACATAATCTCCCACAATGGAATTAGAAAGTCATTAGAGCAGTCTTTAATTTTTGTTTGCAGATCTCCAATGCTATCTCTTGGAGTCTCACACGCATGGACTGTGAGCACTCTGTGCATACTGGTGGTTAAAGCTGCAGGCTCCTGAGCTGCTGCTGCCAGCGTCGGGTGCCAGCCAGTCAGCTCCCACGTTCGCGACCCCATGTACAACAGAATGGAATCTGCCGGCCCTGCACCACCCTCACAGCTGCTCTCATGTGGGAGCCCAGGGTGGCAGCCACTCTGTCCATCCATCTTGTCGAGCGCCTTCCTCGTTTCATCACCCTTCCACTTCACTAGACTGTCTGAATTCAAATCCTGGCTTGAACGCTCACTAACTGTATGGCTCCGAACAGGTTGCTTAACCTCTCTGTGCATCAGTCTCCCCAGCTGCCAACTGCTGATAAGAATGTCACCGGTGCCGTCGGGTTTGAGTGCATGGAAAGTTTTTTTAAGTTCTGGGTGCGCTGCAGATGAATTGTTGATCTGCTAACCGAAAGGTCAACAGTTTGAACCCACCGCCAGCCACAGAAGCAAGATGGGCCATCTGCATCGTGAAGTCGTGAGCCTTGGAAACCGTGGAGCAGTTCCACTGGCTATAGAGCGGGCTTGATGACGCTGAGTCCACTTTGGAAAGCTTTTAGAGCCGTGGTTCTCCACCTTCCTCCTGCCGCGACCCTTTCATACAGGTCCTCATGCGGGGGGACCCCCCCAATCATAACATTATTTTCGTTGCTACTTCATCACCGTCATTTTGCTACTGTTCTGAATCACAATATCTGATATGCAGGATGTATTTTCATTGTTACAAATTGAACATAATTAAAGCATAGTGATTAATCACAAAACAATATGTAATTATATACTGTGAAATATTTATGTGTTTTCCGGTGGTCTTAGGCAACCCCTGTGGAAGGTTCGTTCGACCCCCCCAAAGGGGTCGCGGCCCACAAATTGAGAACCACTATTTTAGAACAAACCAGAGCATGACACACAGTAAGCACTCAATAAATATTTATTACCTGTTAAGAGTCGAAATCAACTCCATGGCAATAGGTTTGGGTCTTTCTGGTATTATATTAAAACCAAAACATACTTTACGGATCATCAAGTGCATACCACTTCTTTGACAGATATAGAAAGTGAGCTCAATCAGACAGATCAATCCAGCTGGAAAGACACTGCAAGTGTCAAAGTCAACACGAGACCCAGAGCCTCCTGCCTCCATGGCTAATGCTTAAGGAACATTTTGCTAAAGTAAACAATTATTTTTTTACAGAATCCAGTATTACCTTTAATAACTGAGGCAACGAGAGAGAACTGTACTGTTATTCACAGTTCAGGCCTCTGATGGAAAAGGATTGCTTTAAAATTTTTCTTCAAAAATTAAATTAAATTCATTCATTCATTAACATTTTTCTTTACCTGATGCCAATCCTGTTAGTGTTACCACGAGCCATCCTGACCACGCATCATACAAACTTTTTGTCATTTCCCATGCTGATTCTTTCTTTTTGCTATTGATCTGAAATTAGAAATGTTTATGCTTTATTTTTCAAACTGTGAATGGAAACTACAATTCTAGAAGGGAATGTCTCCAAAATGCCAGACACAGGACAGTACTTGCTGAAAGAATGCTCACCGACAAGTGGTTACCCAGAGAGCTGCAGCTTTAACAAGAATTTCAGGACGTTTGACAGCAAGGGAAGTTTGACCTACGTTATTTTTAAATAAGTTAAACTCAACTAACTTTGGCAGATCCACACACACACACAGTTATATTCATAAAAATGAGACCGTGCGATGTGGGATGTTTGTTACTAGCTGGTCTACTAGTTCACAACAGTCTTTTAAAAGGTCACAATGAACGAATAACAGAAAGGACAAGGACAATAAATAAAGGCCCTGTACAAATTTAGGCCTGCAAATATGCATGTCTGCAGAGCCCCCACTGCACGGATCCGAGACTCCTGCCTCCATCCCTGTATAATGCAGAAGTAGCACGGCATCTTCTGCATACAGTAAAGGAGCTGAAGGGAGCTTTTATTTGCTTTCCAAATTTTACCTATTCAGAAAAAAGAAGAACCCTGCTCCTCTTAACAAGAATGCACTTCTAAACCTGTCCTAAATGGCCCAAATCACTTCTATTGTATTAGAGCTGTTGCTTTAAAAAGCCAGGAAACCAGTGCCTGAAGGTTTGTCCAGCAGGAGGGCTACAGCTGAGATTCAATAACCTGGTCTGTTTCAAGCATCTAAACCATAAGGCTCCATTAAAAAGGTTACACTTCAAGTTGAATGATACTATAAGCAACCAAACATAGTTCACCATTCTTTAGGAACAAAGATTATTTCTCAAAAAATTAATCACAAACCAATAGAGCCTATTCTCAAGAAGTACCTAAGATAATATGTCACTTTGAAACTGAGCCATTGTGGTTATCTTTACGTCACTGCTTGAACAGCATCAGAGAAAGGTATTTACAGACCCATCTTGATACTCACTGTATGCCAAATGCACACATGTGTCTGTGAAAGAACAGAAATGACCTAAATGTTCACAGACATAGTACTGGGTGAATAAATTATAGTACATTTACATAATATATTTTACAATCACTAAAAAAGAGTAAGTAAGAGGTAATACTATATGAGAAAAAAAAGCAAAGTTAACAAAATATGCTACCCTTTATATAAACTAGAAAAGAATATAAATATACCATGATTCTTCAGAAAGTTCATGAAAAATTGAAATGAAAAGATAATGGAATCATTCTACAAACTTTTTGAAGACCCCATATAGTTACATAAGAAATACAAAAGCTTAATTAAATTTACTGTGTAACATATATTTTGGTGGCCGGAATCACTGGCAGAAATAGATCATCAAATGATCTGATTATGTACTGTATTAAAAATAAATCAGTGAAAATACGTACCCGTCGATGCCTCTCTCTGTCTTTACACTTCTCTCGTACCCAGTCAATCGTGTGGAAATCATCGTAGGTACCAACACCTGGAATTGGTTCATCCAAAAGATCCAGTAAATGTGTAGAACTGTTGATGCTCCCTCCGTTTGTCATTGTGTAATGAGTGCCTACCGAGCAAAATCAACAGATTGTTAAGAACGCCTTATAAAAACCATGGCTGGCAAGATAACCATCCTAGAAGTTCATTGGTAACAAACAAAAACACAAGCTCGCTGCCACTGAATTGATGGCAACTCATAGGGACCCTACAGGGCAGGACAGAACGGCCCTTGGGAATGTCCACAACACTTAGGAGAGTAGAAGCTTCATCTTCTTCCACAGAGCAGCTGGTGGTTTCCACTCTGACCTTGCAGATGGCAGCCCTGCAGGGAACCACGGTGCCACCAGGGCTCCTTCCTTGGCAAATCATACAGAGATAGCACTATTCTTCACTATACAGAAGAACATGGAAATGAGACAAAAATTATGCCATGTCCTTAATTTTAAAGTCATACTGACAACAAACCTAAATTGTCATTTATGCCCCAGCAAAAGAGAACTTGACTTATGATTTATTATTCAGAAGAGGAAGTTGTTCTTAGATGCCATCAAGTTGGTTCTGATTAATAGAACACGAACAACAGATACTTGCGATGTGTGAGCCCACTGTTGCAGCCACTGCGTCAATCCATCCAGTCTTCCTCTTTTTCACTGCCCTTCTACTTTACTAAGCATGATCATCTTTCCAAAACTGGTCCCTCCTGATGTCTGAGACATATTCAATTAACATAGTCCTTCTAACCATAATCCCTTAAGTGGGGTATTACAAATTCTAGCTTCTAAACCTATAGTTGTAACCCCTCCTAGGAGGGAGTTTTCTGTTACAGTAATGGGCAGGATTAAGGTAGGATGTATTCTGAGTCTCCATTATGAACCAATTCATCACCATTGTTTCCCTGGAGATAAAAGTCCTGCTGAAAGACAAAAACCACACCTCTCTCAAGGCCATTCCTTTGTATAGAAGAGCCATCTTGGAAGCAGAAATAGAAACCCCAGCACCATCAAGGAAGATGAGCCACAGGGGGAGACCATTAGAGATCTCTGTCTGAAGTGGCAGAGGCCCAGACCACAGGCAACAGAGTTCTGCGGCACGGGGGCAAGGGTCAGAGAGCAGCTGAGAGTTATGAGATTGTGAAGCCTTCCTGGATCATGGAGGCAGAGGCCAAGGAGAATCACATGGCTGAGAGGCTAAGAACTAGAGAAAAACCTGGCTGCTGGCTGAGAAAAGGAGCTGCTGTGGACCAAGGAGAAGAAGATCCTTACTGTTCATTAATCCTGACTTGTGGTCACCTATTATCTTCCCTAATAAAACCCCTTAACCGTGAGTATTACCTGTGAGTTCTGTGTGGCCAGTGCAGTAAATGATAGAACCCAGGATGGATGCAGTGTGTCATGGAAGGTACAGAATAGGGTAAAGAAGATTGAAAGGTAAGGACCTGCCTGGTGTCTGCCTTGTCGCAATTCTCCTCCCTTGTGCATCCAGAGAGGTCAGCTTCGGTCTCCATGATGTTTTTACACAATGTCCAAAGTACATGAGACGAAATATCATCATCCTTGCTTCTAAGTAGCACTCCAGTTATATTTCTTCCAAGACAGATTGTGTCTTTCTGGCAGCCCAGGATATATTTAGTATTCTACACCAGTATAATAATTCAAATGCACTAATTCTTCCTCCGCTTTCAGTATCCAGCCCTCCCAAACATATAGCGCAATTGAAAATGCCATGGCTTGGGTCAAGTCCATTAGTCCTCACAGTGACATCTTGACTCTTTATCAGCATTGAAGAAGTCTTCTGCAGCACATCTGTACCATGTGATACATTGTTTGATTTTTTTTTAAATCATTTTATTGAAAGCTCTTACAGTGCTTATTACAATCCATACATCAATTGTATCAGGCATATTTGTACCTATGTTGCTATCAATCTTTTCTAGACAGTTACTTTCTATTGAGTCCTTGGTATCAGCTCCTCTTTTTCCCCCTCCCTCGCCCCACCCTCGTGACCCCTTGATAGATTATACATTATTATTTTCATGTCTCACCGACCACTGTCTCCCTCCCCTGGAGGTATGTGTGCATTGTTTGATATTTTTAACTTTTGATCCTGTGGCATTAATTATGTATCCATGTAAAATGAAATCCTTGGTAATTTCAATATTTTCTCCATTTATCATGACAATGTCTATTGATCCAGTTGTGAGGACTTCGGATTTCTTTACATTGAGTTCTAATGTACACTGAAATTTATAGTTTTTGGTCTTCATCAAAGTAAATGAATCAAGTTCTCTCTGCTTTCAGCAAGCAAGACTATATCATCTGACAATTGCAGGTTGTTAATGAACCTTACCCCAATCCTGATAACATTCTTCTTCATATGGTCCAGCTTCTCAAATTATTTGCTCAGTGTGCAGATTAAATAATTAATGGTATAAGAAGACATCCATGACACATACTTTTCCTGAATCTAAACCATACAGGATCTGTACAAAGGATTGCTTCTTGATCTATGCTGGTTCTACATGAGCAGAAAGAAGTGTTCTGAAATTCCTATTCTTTGCAATATTATCCATAGTTTATTACAATCCGCACAGCTTAGTGACTCTGCATAGTTGATCAAACACAGGTAACTATCTTTCTGATATCCTCTGTTCTCAGCCTAATTCCACCTGACATCAGCAATGACGTGCGTCATTCCACGTCCTCTTCTGAATGGGGCTTGAATTTCTGGCAGGCCCCTGCCAGTGCACTACCACCCCCACTGTGAGTCAGCACAGACTTGACAGCACCTGACAGCGGTAGCAACAATTTATTAGAGTCTTAAGATACTAGTGTGATAGCTGCTTTGTTTAATTCTATAGTCAAACAGATTTAAAGGATGTATTAGGAACAGCATTAAAAAAATAGCTTTAGAAAGGCTTTTAAACATTGGGGGGGGAAAACGATCAATCCAACACATAAAGAGAAGTGCAAATAGAACTCATGACATAATTTTTTATCAAATTGATAAAGACACAGTTTACTAATGCAATGAGTTAGCAAGGTCATAGAGAAGGAAATCCTCTCACAAAATTTGAAGTACAGACAGATTTGACCATATGGAAGGACAATTTGACAAAAGCTTCATAAATTTAAAATAAGCAGAAAACCTCTAACCTATCAAATCCTCTGTAGACATTTTCCCCTGAAATAATAATTGCACAAATCCATAATAATCTGTATAAAATTTAAAACTGTAGTCTCGTTCTCAATAGCCAAAGAGGAGGTCAACTTCAAAGTATTGATATAGAAAAATTTTTTAATTAAAACATGAGTAGAACACTGGATAAAATAGGCAGTCACTTGTGTATAAAGGAGCCCTCGTGCTTCCATGGTTAAGCACTTGGCTGCTAACCAAAAGGTCGGTGGTTCAAACCCACCTGTTCCACAGAAGCAAAGGGTTTCATGGCAGTATGCTTCTTCAAGGATTCTCACTGCCATCATGTGGTCGCTGACTCACAGTGACCCTACAGGACAGGGTAGAACTGCCCCTCGGATTCTCAAGACGGTAACTGTCAATGAGAGTAGAAAGCCCTGTCTTTCTCCCACGGAGTGGCTGCTGGTTTTGAACTGCAGCAGATCTTGTGGCTTGCAACCCAACAGGTAGACACGACGCCCCCAGCCTTAGAAAGTCTACTCTAAGGCAGGTTTACTCTGTCCTACAGTCAAAATCAACTCAACAGCAATGGATTTTCATAAAAAGGAGGAGGAATACACTCACCCATAAAGTATATATAAAATATCAAGAAAGATACACGACGAAGATGCCGACAATGGGGGCTTAAGTCAGAAATGGAAGATTTATTTAATATGGTATAGCTAATGTATACTTTTTATTGTTACTTATTCTACCATCTGCATATATCATTTAGAAATGAAAGCTTAACTTTTCATTATAAGAATGGGTACAATTATAGGCTGTATAATAATTATAATTAATGTGTTCTTAATACTCAAAGGCAGAGAATTATAAATTCAATCTTCCAGTGTATATTAGTAATAATCTAGCCAAAGCTTCACTTCTCATGTGAAAATAAGAAATGTCTCATTATTTCACAGTTCTAGTATTAATATGACATGTAAAGATACTTTGTTAAGCTCAATAAGTAGAAATGTTAGTTGAAGTTTAATTCTAACTTAAGCCTACTCATACAAAGACAAAGCCTCTCTTTGGCCCAGCATTCAACACTGTCACATCAGCTCTGTTCTGCATCATCCAAGCAGATGTATCAACTCCAGAAGATTCAACTGGACACCCACGATCACTAACTTCCTCCAGATTCTGAAACCCCCTCCCTCTCACAACAGCAAGGCCATGAGCTCTGGTTTCTGTATGGTGTTAATGAAGCCCATGAAAGCCAACTAGAATTAGAGATAGCAAAACATCTGTTCTACACTCACAGAGCGTATCTAGAAAAAGGAAGTAAAAGGAAGCTTGCCATTTTTGAAAATCATTTTTTATTGTGTTATTTTTCCTCACTCTGATATGTGCACAAATGCTTTATATTGTTTCACCACTCAAGTATAGTCAGACAAACTGAAATCTGATAGAAAGGACCAAAAAAAGTTATGGAAATAGAGCAATGCTACTAAGACCGACTACACACTAAGTCTTTTACATGTACTACCATATTGATTTTCAAACCAATTTGGGAGAAGAAATCATGTTTTATCAGAACTGAGAATGAGGTGTGCCATATGCTTAAGAGTTACTTAGACATTCTTCTGACAAAATACTGTATTTTAATCGATAGGTTTACCCCATAAGCAGTTTGTATACTGAGCTTACTGTATTGGAACCTAATAGGAACATGCCGATGGAAATAATGTACCCGTATTGCTATGTGATAAACAAAAGCATATCATTGCCAATGTGCTCACACTATAAAGCAGGGGTCCGAAAACACTTCTATAAAGAATCAGAGAATCAATATTTTAAGATTTGTTTGGAAGCCATATATGATAATACTCAACTGTTGACATCGTAGTAGAAAAGCAATCAAAGATAACATGCAAATACATGGGTATTGTT